TAAGCAAACTTACATGGATTAGTAACTTTTAACCTTTTACATCTATATAAATCCTACCCCACCACTTTCACCTTTTGAATATCTTTTCTATTAACTAATCGCTCTACACTTTTACTCTCAGCTACTCGTGATTTCTGCTTGGTGTAAATCTTTTTGTGACGTGAATTTGTGCTCTAAACCACTTCAAGTAAGTTTTATTCATTGAGTTAATATCTTTGTATCCATTTTTTGTTCTTATTTTTAATTTGTATTTTGAAACATAAACATAAATTTGAAGAGAAATGATAAACCTGACTTTCTGCTTAAGCAAAATTGCCAGCTTATGTTAGTCTCGCTTAAACATGGTCTACATGTCACTTAAAGTGAGTTTGGAATAAACGAACAACTTCGCTTAAGAAGACGACGACCTTACTTGTACTATTATTGCTTAAGTGTAATCTCTTTTTGTTCAAAGATAAATTGACTTCCTATCACATTTCAATTGATCATAACTAGTATTTTCTTCACAAATAAGACAAGCTTTATGATCCTTCACACTGTAACCTTACAAGTTTCCATATACAGAAAAATCAATGATAATGCAAAATAATATGACATACATCTTGAAAGACTCACAAGCAAATGCATCAAATACTTCAACCCCTTTATCTCATAATAATTCCCAATCTTCAATTAATGGACTAAGATATACATATATGGTATCTTCTGGTTGTCTTGAGCCTAAGATTATCATAGGCAACATCATGTATTTACGCTTCATACACAATCTTAGAGGTAAATTGTAAATAAATAGCAAAACATGTTATGAACTATGATTAGTACTTGTATTACTAAATGGATTTATCCCATCCATAACTAATCCAAGTCTAAGATTTCTTGACCCATCTCCAAATTAAGAAAACTCGTTATCAAAGTCCTTTTGTTGCATAAAGTTAGTTGGGTGACGAATAAATCCATCGTATGTTCTTCTATTTGTATGTCATATAAGATTTTTAGCATCATTAGGATTCACAAACTAACAGTTATATCTTAAAATTATTGAAAGATACCAAATGTACTTGGTAGGGGTTTCTCTATTGTCATGTCATTACTATTGTCTTGATTATTATTTTTAACTTTATAACAAGCTAACTCACAAATTGGGCACTTTTTTAGTTTTTCAAACTCATTTCTATATAAAATACAATAATTAGAACATGCACACACCTTTTTATACTTCATACCTATTTGACAAAATATTTTCTTCACTTCATAATTACGATTGAGTAGTGTATTTCCTTTTGGAAGTATATATTTCAACAACTGAAAGTAATTCAATGAAATTTGTATCGATCCATACGGCGATTGCCTTCAAATTTACCAATCTTAAAAATATTGATAACCATGTGAAGTTAGTTGAATTAGGATCAAGTGTAGTTTGTACATTATTACATATATCTTCATACACATGTGGTTGAATAAAAGGTTCAACTTTAACACTACAAATCATGTCTTCCAATCGATCAATGATTAAATTAACTAAATATATTCATTTATGACTGACAAATCTAATAATTTCTCATGTTATGTCCAAGTCGTATAATTTTTAAGAAAATCATCACAAAAGATGCTCCCTAATTTCCTTAGCATTTAATATTCTTCCATCCAAACAGTTAACACATGGACACCTAAATATTTCACCAACAGAGCTAGTAGAACTGTTGTGCTGTACAAATAGTAAAAAAGTTTCCACTCCCTCCTCGTACTCATTATTTTTGTGTGCACAATTAACTCAACTTCAATCCATTTCTAGATTTTGTATGTGTACAAAATTATATAATTAAGTTAACAATACAATTTATTGAGGATAAGATATCTCTAGACTTAACACCAATTCGTTTTAAAATAAAATACCAATATACATAAACATAATACAAATAATAAATTTGTACAATCTTAATTCTATTAAGGAGTTAGAACAATTACTTACTTAAGGGAAAGATAGTATCAATCACACAAACCACTGCGACCACCACAACAACAAGCCTCATAGAATAAAAGCACCATGGACTACCACACACTAATAACCATAAACATTATAGCCAATTGCTCTAGAGACCTCTATCAACCACCACTACCATCAAAGATGGCGTGACATTGACAGGAGAAAGAGAGGGAAGGTGAGTTGCAGATGAAGAGCGAGCCTCGAGAGAGGGAGGGTGAGTTGCGAAGAGAGAGCGAGAAAGGGAGAGAAGAGAAAAATGAGCAGTTTAGAACTAAGCAATGACGGAAAAAGGAGAGTGTGACAAAAATGAGGAAGGAATGAGGAGATGAGCAGGATATAAATCGTACGATGACGATCCTACAAATAACCGTCATCGTATACAATAATAATTATTTCACACTTGTCAAATATTTACTATCTCACACTTGACAACAATTGTTCATATAACTGTTATTGTATATACTATATGATGACAAGTGTTAAATAATCGTGATTAAAAAGTTTATTTTAATTTTAAAAGTGTCACCGTATTGCTTTTAAAGATGCAGTGGCAGATCTTCTTGGGAGCTGAGGGAGACCATGAACCCCCCAAAGTTTTGTAATTCCCATGTAATTTATGATTTTGGCCCCCCAAATTTAATAAACATTTAATATATTTACTTGTATATTTATAATTTTATCCTTCCCGCCCCTCCTCAGTTAACTCTCATATAATTTATAATTTTGTCTCCCTCAAACTTAATAATCATTTAATATATTTAAATATATATTTACAATTTTATCTTTTCACTCTTTTATCTTCTTACTTCATTTTATATTTATTTATTATTTATTAATAATATATTATTTGACCCCTTTAAGATCAATGATCAAGATCCGTCACTGTAAAGATGGTTCCTTAATAACCATCCCTTTAATGTATTTTGCACTAGTGAAATAGTCCTTTAAAGATTATTTTTACCATATATTTCTTTAATAGGTAAGTTGGTCTATCCTATCCAACACATTTACAAACTTATATAACATCTTCTTAATCATAAGTTTCGTGTTTACTAAACCTTTTTGCACGTAAATCTTGCATGGTTTGGCAGATGAATGTCCTTATATAATGTTTGAAATTTAATTTACTATATCAACAAAAGATTAATAAAAAAATTAGTTCACAATTAATTCTTAATAAAATTATATAATAAGAATTAAAGATTGCTATTTTTTTAAATTAATAAATAATTATTATCTCAACACTAAAAGCTATAAAAGGAAAATAAAATATTAATATGAAAAAGTAAAAGAGTTTATTACAATAATAAAAATAATATAATTATAATAGTTATGAAAAATATAATATTTATATATATAAAAAAGAATAATTATTTAATTTCAAAATACAATTTAATTCCTTAGTGTTAGAATATTATATACTATGTATAAAAAAATTGAAATTGTAAAAATTCAGGATCAGTGTTGCATACGGTCACACTGCATGACACTGTGATGGACTCCCAAGCTTCATACTAGAAAAATGTTTTCATAAGTGTTAGTGTGAGGCGAGACACGTTAATGATGAGGATGAGGTCTCCAACAAAACTCAACCGTAGAACGATCATATCAGATTACAGCACCTGCAAAAACTCTAAAGTCAATGTTAGCATATAAGGAAAAAGTTAGAAAATGAGTACTTATCAACATACTTGGATGTGAGACCTTCCATTATAGAGGCTTATTGGGAGAAAAATGTTAAAAGACTTAATTATTTTGTGAGATGCCATCTGGTTGAATAGACTTAGGTGATGATATATGTCCTCTCTTTATGATATATTGGTTTCTATCTTAGTGCAATCAAGCTAATAATCATATGTTGATACGAGGGAGAGGAGCGAGTTGCGTTTAACTCGCATTTGAGGGTGCGTATAGTAACTAAAAATGGCTGATGAATCTGATGAAACTGACTTCAAAGCACTTGGAGATCTAAGTTACTTGGGGTGTCTCTGAAATTGTTGTCCCAATAGTGCACGTTGGCAATTGGTAAACTATTTCTTCATGCTGCGCTGCCAAACAGAATGTATCACTATATGACAATCCAACTGTCACATATATATAAGAAAAGTGGAGATTACAATTGATAGATATATATATATATATATATATAGAGAGAGAACTAGAACTTTAGCATTCTGGAACCATAAAGATTATGAAGAAACGTGTTAAAGTGAATGTTACAGAAGATAACTATATATTACTTAGCTTTTACAACTACGTTCATAAGCTTAAAATGAGAGTTATAGGAAATACTGAAATAGAGACTATGGATGCAGAAAATTTAAAATGGTGGATTAATTTTGCATGGTTGAAATGTCAATGGAGAGAATTTATAATTGTTATTCAAATTGTTTGCTCAGCTAGGATTCTAAACTTTATATTTGATAAATCGGCAGATACTGTACAGTACAGCTAGAAGATTGCCTTGTTCTTATCGATTTACTAAGTGGTTGTAGTTGAAGGCTAATTCACTTGGTTCTAATCGAGAATAAAATCTTGTGTGTAATGGAAACAAAATACACATTTAATCTATTCTGAGGTTAGCGATGTTATACATGTTTCAACTTTAACATCATATTAATTAGAAAAGCAGAATTTTCATACACCAGGCAATGGGGAATATTATAATATTGTTGTTTCTACTTTTGGTGTACTGGGTCCAATGAGAATCGACTAAAGATCAATAGGGTTTGAAGCAATATTTGGAATGTGGTGCAATAAATTTAGTTCAGAAATCAAAATAGTAGCCAGAACAAAACGAATCAAAAGCAGTATATCTCATTTTTTTTGGCAGAAAGCGGTAAATATCATATAAAACTAGTAAATTTTACAACCAAAATATATAAAATACAAGCAATGATCAAAATTAATTCAAAGAGTAAACTCGCGAGAACAAAATCAAACAGTTTATGAACTCTTTCACCAAGGAAAAAGGGGTTCATGACATCTACAAATAATTACGTCATGAGGATCGAACTCAAAAAAAATTTCTTGTACCCGTTTCTGCTGATGATGAATCCTGTGGTTCAGTTCCCAGTCTCAGTTCAAGGTCTAACTCTAATGATGAATCTCGGGTAGATAGCAAAGCTCCTTCAGTGGTATTTCGACCTTGTGGCTTTATTGTTTCACTGCTAGTTGGTGATTCTGCAAAGAGTGGAAGCTGCCTTGTGTGAGTGGGTCTAGAGGAAACATGATCTTGTTGAGACACATTCCAATTCCAATTTGGTGTGTTGGGTTCTTCACCAGACTTGGTCTGATCCTGTGGAGAGACAACAACCTTGTCCAAAGATGGTTGAACTTGAGTTTGGTTTGAAGATTGTTGTTGCTTGAGCTTGGCCTTGTCTTTCCTGTGGATGTTCATGTGTCCCCCCAGTGCTTGTGCATTAGAGAATCCCCTCCTGCAGAAGTTGCACTCGTAGGACCTGGATGTCACGTGAGTTGCACCTTGGTCCTCTCCATCAGAGGGATTTTCAGATATTGCTGTTTGGTGATGATCATGATCAGATTCCATGTGATTATAGTTTCAACTCTGAAGAAATATGTAAGAATGAGTATGTGAAGTATAGTGTGTAGATAGGAAAAGAGATGGTCAACAAAAGCAGATAGCGGTGGTTTTATATGTTGAAGTTGAATGGGGCACATAGAAAGGCCTGCTTTCATCTTATTATTATTATTTTATGAAACTGCCATGTAATGAGAATGTAACTTCCTGAATATGTTTTACAGCTTGAGTTGTAGCAAAGGACAAAATAGCTTAAGGCTTGCAAAACTACTGGGTCAAGTATACATTCAAGACAACTTGCGTTTTGGCTTCTGGCTTTCGGCCTACGTTAGATTCAAATCTTGTCTCACAAACTCACAATGCATGTTACTGTCACACACATTTTTATTATACATTTTTAAACTCCTACAATGTATTTAATTAACCATACGCACCTTCGTCTATCACTTGTTTTCTAAGTTTGTTTTCATTTTTAACTTTTCTAACTCAATCCTCATTCAATATTAAAGGATAGTCCCATATTACATACATGTTATACCGCAAATCTCATTAACATAAATTCTCATTTCATATTAAAATGGATAGATAATTTAACGAGTTTTATAATGATTGGATCCAAACAAAACTGATTGCCAGAAAATATTTTCCTAATTTAACGCTTCTATAATAAGATTTACATCTCATTATAATATAATTGATGTATCAACTGAATTAATTTTGGATAATAAAACATGCTTCATTTTGTGATTTTTTTGTTATTGTTTCAGAAAAAGAAACACGGAATTTTCGTCTCAAAATATACTCTATTTGTAAGATTTCTTTTATGTCGATGAAGTGTTTGGATTATATGGAAAAAAAAATGTTCTCACAAACGACTTCTCATAGTGTAGTTTTTACATTAAGAATGTGCAAATTAGTTATATATACAGAGAGAGATTAGTTTTTGCCAGTGAAACTGGCAGAAAATAATAATTTGTAGCTTCAAAATTCTAAGAAAGTAATTGGAAAAATTACACAATTAAGGACTTTATTATTTTTAGTTTAAGAATCTATTTTAGAGTTCCTAAATAGTGTAGAAGCTCCTTAAGATTTTAAAAACTCGTAATTTTTCAAAATTATAAAGATCCAAATGAAGAAAGCTAAGACAAAGATGACAAATGTTTTGTGAGTGTGGAAGAAGAGAAAAATATTATTTGTTTTGAGTCAGATTGGTTTCTCTCTCAAACATGAAAAGGTCATCTCAGGAATCACGCAATCGTCTACAATATATGACCATTTGATTTATAAAATAGTCATAATTTTTTAATATTTTATTTAAAAACTAGTTACCTTTATTAAAAATAGTAACACTGTTTAGTTTACAACGATATATCAGTTGCATCTGAACTCCAAACACTTAATTAAAATTAAAATACAAATAAATTAATCGTTAGTGTCAATGGAATTGGAATCAGATTTTTTAATTAAGATTTCGCATACCAATCTTTTACATAGAAAAAAACTGTTAGTAGAAGAAACTGTAAATGATTCTGATTAGTCAGATTTTTTTATAGAAATTAAATTATAAATTACAATTTATAATTTCATATTGTTGTGTCCATAATTTTTAGTCAAACACAGTCTTCTATGTTTCCATGTTTAGCCGTCCAAACCCAATGAATTTAAAGCTGATTTGGTAGTTCTTGTTTGTGTTGGGATAAAAAAGGGAAAAATAAAACGAAAGAAGCAGAGGATTCATAGCTGGTAGAAGGAATTATCTTGATTGTACCAAACGACCCTCACAACCCAATAAACATAGCCACCCATCATCGTCTTCCACTTGGAAACTGCTAAATCAATAAGCTAGTTGGCCAGAAGCTGTTCATTAATATTTCAATTAGATTTGAAATTTGACGTGAATAATACGTAATACATTTAATACAATCATTTATTACACGTTTGTTTACATAAAATTCGAAAATCTAATTAAAGATATTTTACGTTTTCTTTTACCAATAAAATTAAATATTATTATAGATATAAATTATTTAAAATTTGATTATATAAATATCTTTATTTTAATTTTAAATAATCTTCTTTATTTTTAAATAATTTAAATATGACTCATAATAAAATATTTATTTTTATTCATAAATAATTTTTATTATTAATTCTCTTTGAGATATTCTGAATATAAAAAATAATATTTGTGAAAAGATAAATTATTATGTAATAAACACTTTTTTTAATTATTAATCTCACGTCTTTTGACAGTATATGATATTTTTTTTCTTTTTGAAAAAAATTAATAAGATGTAGATTCTAAAAAGCCTACTATGTTCATCACAAATAAATAAATTAGAAATTTAATTCATTTTCAACACAAACATTGTGAATGTAATTTTATATATTGATATTCAACTTTTTGTTTTCTTTTTAATGTGTTTGTATTTGTAGACAAGTAAATAATATAAATGGTATGAGAAGTTTGATTTGATTACTCTTGAATGTAATATTACGAATTTTATGAATGAAAAAATATTATTGTGTTAAATAAATACTCCACATTAATGATATAATATAAAAAATATATAATATTTTGGAAAATGAATCTTCACTGAAACTAATTAGTTTTAGTGATGTAAATATTTCATTTCAACACTATTTATAAATATTATTAAAATTAATTTTTATAGAGACAATAATATTTAATAATAAATTATTGTCATAAGAGACTATACTATTAAAAAATTATAAAAAATATATTTTAATGCCACAAGAATATAATAGCGATAAATTATTTGTCATGATTATAATTTATAAAAATAAATATTATTATTTTAATTTCAAAAATATATACAACAATAAGAATAAATTAATTATTATTGTTAATAATTTTTAATAATAATAATAGTAATTTTAATATAAATCTTTGTCATAATTATTAATTTTTAAATATTAATATTTATCATTAAATTATTAAAAATTATAATGACATGTAATTGTGTCAAATTTGTTTTATTTCTTTCACGTCGTTAGAAATAGACAAATTATTTTTAAAATATTATAATAAATAAATATTTAAATATAAATGATTCATTATAATGATAAAAACTAAAACACAATAAATATCTGGCAATATTATAAATTCAAACATGAGAAATTACTTGACATGTTTCTACTTCAAGACATTATTATATAATTATTTATAAAATAACAGAAAATCAATAAATTGTAGTGATCTTACAAAATAAAACAAAAAATAAATAATTAGTATTGATAAAAAAGTAATTAATAATATTTTAAAAATGTAGTGATGTAAGTAAAATTATTAAAGATATTTTAGTGAAAAAAAAACTTTGAAACTTTTTTGTGCATCTTCGCTTTTGAACAAATTGTTTTTTTATAATTTTTTTACTTTTGAACAAGTTTTTGTCATACTATATTTTTGAATGATTAGGTTTTGTTCCTAAAACAAATTCAAGTGTTTAACTAGTAGTTGCTTTTGAAATTTTCTTCTTATTCATATTTCTAACATGTTATATAAAATGTGAAGAGAAAATAATTTATATTATAAATATTTTGTAATATATTATCATTCTATTTTTAAAATACGTTTTGGTGAATTAAAATAGGAGAATATATAAAAATTATCATTGATTCCGACTCTTAAGTGATATAAGAATTATTAGTATATACCGAAACATAGTTTTCCTTGAAGACTAAGGGATAGAAAATGAACTACAATATACCCGAAGTTGAGAACTCGAGAGGTAGAAAATGAACAAGGAATATAAACCCTACTCGAGAACTAAAGGGTAAAAAATGTGTTTTGATCCCATAGTAGGTAGAAGTGTTAAAATATATTTAGTTTGATGGACCGCCCAAAAAACTTTAGAAAATAAGCTAGGATAACAAAAAAAAAATTAAAAAATTATACTCTAAATTGAAAGAGATAAAATTTTGACTCTTAAGTCATGATCTAAATAAACTCAATTCAGATTAACTCATTAGCTTATGAACCGATCCACTTTATAAAATAACTTTATAAAATAATAATTAAGTTTTAAATAAAAATAATATTATTTTATTTTATTTTATATATATATATATATATATATATATATTTATTGTAAATTATTTGATAAGTTTTTAACACTCACTTACTTCAATATTTAAGAGTTAAAATAAATTATTATTTTAGACTATTAGATTATTAAAAATGTAATAAAAATGAATCATGATAATAAAAAAACAATTCACTGTTTAATGATAAAAATTTATTATTTTAAACTATTAGATTATTAAAGATAAATGATGATAATGAAAAGAAAATTTTAAATTCTTATTATAAAAGTGAATAAATATTTTCTAATATAAAATAACTTAAATTTTAAATTACACTTTTTATTTTTAATTTTTTTTTAATTTTTATATATATATATATATATATATATATATATATATATATATATATATATATATATATTTCAATTCAAGTTAAAATTGGTTTGTTAACCACTATTTTAGTATAGGGTCATAGACAAAAAATTACAATTCATTTAATAAAATAGGTCAAGTTGGGTGGCTCTTTTGACAGTCCCAAATGTTTTCTCTAAAAATAGGTCATGCTATCTATTTCAAATTCTAGTATAATACAATTTTATTATTAAAAAATGTCATTAGAATATATCATAATACATATTTCTGGTAATAAAAATAATTAAAAAAGATTAAATAATAATATAAAAAAATTTCATAATTAAAATATAAAACAATGACTTTATTTTAGTTAAAAAAGCACGTTTAGTAAGCATAAATACAACGATGATACTTATTTATCAATTGCGTGGGAGAAATGAAGAAAAATATCGTAAAGAGAAAAAAACAACCAAAATCTGAAGTGAATTATTAAAAAAACTACTCCACATTATATGACTTAAACATTAAAATTATTATAATTCAAATATATTTTAGATTAAAATTTAAAAATGTTAAAAAAATATCACTTCTAAATTTTATTAAAATAT